GGGGGAGCTCTTTAAGGACTCAGAGGTATAAAGAGGGGGCCCAGTGCAGACTTTGCTGTTTGTCCCCTGCACAGGAAACATCAGAGGAGCCAGTGGGGTCCCTGTCAGAGTGCCCTGAGGGGAGCTGTCTCAGGGCAGCAGTGGGAAATTTCTGAGGGGTGCACTTCTGCTCACCTGGTTAACGGGCTATTCAAATCCAGGGGCTGGCTGCTATTGATGTCCTGGGTAGATGGAAAAGTGGAGGTCCGACTGGGTAGCGTTGTTGCTATAGGCTTGGGAGACTCTGTTCGATTGGGTGCTAAACACAGGGAAGAGAGCAAGGTTCTGAGTATCACAGGCGGCTCCCGTGGTCTTCTCCACCCCCCACCCCCAGGGGTGCAGAACTTTCTGTCTTAGTGCCACTGCTCAGCCACTTGGTCTTCTCTTGCATCTCTTTGGAATTATTCCAAACATACAGTTACTTCTTTGCAGAGAAACACCAGTTTACCACTGTATGAGATATTGTGGTTGCTGGTTATGTAGGAATTTCCATTCAGTTGAATTTCAGGGTCCTGTTGGGCACAGCTGAGCATGTCAGAACCATGTCCCTAATCCCTGGAGCCTTAAATCAGCCAGGCCAGCTCTTTTCTGAGTCTCAGCCTGGCCTGAAGCAGCCTCGTGCCACCCGCCTGAAGCGATGTGACCCACGAGCTGGCAGGCCCAGGGTTCCCTGTCTCCTGGAGCCACCGAGTGCGCAGTCTCCAGTTCCCCCCGAGGTCCTTCCCGCCTCCCTGGGGCTTGCTTTCTTACTTCTCCAGGCCTGTCCAGGGAAGGCCGTCTGGGTTAAGGGTCCAGACTCCCGTTCTCTGGCACCAACTCCTCCTCCACTCTTGCACACATCCACCACCTTTTTGTCCTGTCCAGTTAATTTCTAGAACATTCTAAGACCAGCATCCTTCCCCACTGCACACATTTGTACACCATATTTGCATATGTTAACTTTGAAGAGACTTTTCTCTGCTTTAGAAACGGAGTCCTGAGTAGCAGGTGTATTACCTACCTAGTGTCTGTGTGTCTGTGTGTTGGAGACAAGACACAGGGGTCCCGAGGTGGAGCTGTGGGGCAGGGGCTACAGTCCGACTCTCTTTCCAGGCTCCTCTCTTCCAGGCCTTAGTGCTTCTGGGGCAGCTCAGGGGAGCCAGAGGAGAAGGTGCCTGCACCATGGTGGAACCTGCCTTTCCTTCTCACCCAAATGGGTTCACAGTTCCTCACCTGTTTCTTTGTGCTGATGTTGCCAGAGGGAAGAGGGGAGCGGGGAGGGGGTATGGAGAGGGTCTCTTCCCTGTAGTTGAAACCATCAGGATCATAGTCTTCTAGCACCCCACTCTCCTCTGCATGCCTGACAATGCCCCATGCAGGCTGGGATGTGATGAGAATGGACGTGACCAGGAAAAGAGGAGTTGCCTTCCCTGGCCGAGTCTGTCCTTCTCTGTTCTCTCCAGGGAGACCAGGGAGAGTGGTGGGGAGGTGTGGGGGCTTGCACTTTCTTCCAGTCTTTCCCAGAATCTTGGTGCCTCCCCACTTGCACACACACACTCACACAAGCACTCGCACATGTATAGTCTCAGACAAATTTCGAGACTCCTCTCCATCCATCAGAGAAGGCAAAGAAACACTCCTGACTCCTCTGGGGGGTGGATCCCAGGGCCCCAGAGCACAGGATGGGTAGTGCCTACCTGGAGTGACAATCACAGAAAATTTGAACCCCAGGTCAGTGCCAAATTGCTCGATCCCACACCAGTAGATGTCTGCATCATCACGCTGGAGATTCTCCAAGGTCATGGTGAATGTGTGTTGGCTGTGATTATCCTGGATGGACGCTCGGCCCTTCTTCACCAGTTGCTCTGACCCGGTGGTTTTAACAAGGATTTTGCAGGAATCCCAGCCATTTCCACGACACCACCACTTCCTGTAGGATTCCCATCCGCGACCATATGTACAGCGCACAGTCAGTGTGCCTCCCTCTGTGCCTCTCACCTTTTTTCCCTCACAGGTGGAGAAATGGCCTAGAAAACAGAAACCCAACATGCATCTCCTCCTTTCTGGAGCCCAGAGCTGACCTGGGCGCTGCTGGGGCTTCGGGCCCTGCCCTGAAGACCAGCCAGGAGCCTCTGCCGTCTGTCTAATCGCCACATCCCGCCTGTCACTTCATCCCCTACAGAATTTCTTTCGCTGTCACCTCTCTCATGAAGTCCCTCTTTGGTCTCCTAACTGCCCAATACAGGGGCGTCTGCTCACCCACCATCCTACTGACCACCGTCCCCTGCCCACCCTCAGGCAGCAGCTCTTCCTGGCAGCACAGAGCTCACACTGCAGCCACAGGGGTATTTCTGAACCCCACAGCTGGTGAGACAGCATGGATCCTCCCCATTGATGCCCCTGATACTGTAAAACCTACACACTTACAAACTCTCAGCCTCTGAATAGACATGTGGCATGGAACTAAACACACACACACACACACACACACACACACACACTCATTCAGTTGCACAGGCGATTGCTTGTTGTTGTTGTTTTTACCTACACACCTTGCTCTTCTGTCTCTTCATACCTTTGTACAAGCTCTTCCCTCTACACAGAATCTGCTTTCTTCTCTGCTTGAAGGAATCAAACCCTTATATTCATCCTTCAATGCTTAGCTCAAACAGGTTCTCCTCTTCTGCAGCCAACTTGGTCACTCCCAGTGCAACCAGAGCCCTTTGTCTCTGTCTCGGGTGTTGTGCTAATGACAATGGATGACAGTCTGTCATTAGATCATCCAGAGCAGAGATCCAGGCAGGCTGATGTATGAAGATGAGCAAGTCTCCAGAAAGCCTGTCACATCCTGCTTTTGCTGCCTGTCTTCCTCCCTGTTGTCTGAGCTCTTCAGAAGAGAGGATCCTGGCTCGAGCTACAAGTCAAGACCAAATGTGTAAGCTTAAATGATCCAGATGCCTGAACCCCACCTTGACTGAGTGGGTCTCTGTTGGAGACAGAGCATCTGTACTTCTTCAGAGTTCCTCAGGTATTCATGCATTTATGCATGTGCATATATATGTGTGCATGTGTGCAACTATCTATCATCCATCCATCCAGCCAGCCAGCCATCCATCCATCCATCATCTGGCTTAGGATCTATCTGCCACAAGTTGACAAACTGTGCCCTAGAAAACAGACACCGTTTGTGCTATTTAATTTTATTTCCTTCCCCCACAAACAACTTAGTACCTGTCAGATAACAAAACGTTAAGAAAAACAATTTTAATGAATAAGTGTCTGGATGAATGAAAGGTTCTGCCATTTCCCCCCACACAGACCCTGTCCGTTTCCCCCTCCTTCACCCCGCATATGCTCGATCTTAGAGCCCCTGCCTCACTCACCCTGGACGACAAGAAACAACAGAACCGGGAGCAGACACATGTCCTGCCTGGTGGTCTCCCTGCTGTTCGGCAAATGCCAGCTGCCCTCTGGGGACTTGAACTGAGCTCAGAGTCACACTGCCCTCTATTTCTCTAAAATATTCTTCTTCATTTCTTTCATCTCCTTTTCTTAATAATTTTTCTTCAGTTACTTCCTGATTTCATTCATTGATTGCAAAGCAGTGCTGTCTGTTGGGAGCTTATGGCTGAAATGATGAGGTGTTCCCCCCTCCTTGCTCTGGCCCCTCAACTCAGCAACCCCTGGAGTCTGACCCTGAAGACCTTCTCTCCGAGGAAGGCCTCTGCACCTCCCCTCCCTAGCACCACCTCCAGTCTGTGCACACCTACTTCCTGCCCCCGCCCATCTCCCAGCCCTGTTCTCCATCTCCATTGGCTACTGGTGTCTTTATAGAACTGTCCACTCAGATGTGCTCCAAATGCCATTTCTTGTCATCTTCACTCCGAAAGTGAATCTGTCCCAACACCTGGGTCCTGGGCCCAGGGCTTCCTCAAGCCCCTATCTGCCCCCACCACACTAGTCTTCCGTAGACAAAGGCCATGGGTCTTCTCCCTGCCACCTGCCACCCAGATGACCTTGCAAGGGTGGGGGGCTTGGAAGTGGAGCAGCCCAGGGCTTTGCCAGAGGAGTAGGAGAGAGTGTGGTGGGCCAGCCCTGGGAGGGAAGAGGAGCAAGAATCCCTGTCCCTTCAAGGTCTTTCTGGCTGGGCTGAGAATCAAATTGACATGAGACAGATTAACAAGAGAAAATCAAATATAATAGCATACATGCAGAGAGTCCACATAGACGTGACAGTCAGGCAAAAAGAGGTACAAATGGCGTCCTGAATGTAGGAGAAAGTGGGTAGGGGTCTGAGATTTCAAAGGGAAGGAACACAATTCACAGGAAGATGAAACCATTAAGTGTTCGGTGCATGTAAGTTTGCCCTGCCATGTAGTTGCATTACTCAGATAACATTTATCCTTTGTAATAATCCTTATTCTGCAAAAAGTCTTCCAATTTAGAGCCTTTATTTCATTAGGGAGGAACAAAAGTTTCTTTGGAGCCCACAGGGTCTTATTATACCTCACAATAATCGTCACGTCAAGGTGGCCTCTCTGGGGGCCTGACTTAAGTTCCTATACTTCTGTTTATGTCCACGTGTGAGGGCTGAGCTTTCTCCTGGGATTCAGGGCCCAGGGAACCCTGAATTTATGAACTGGTGGTGGGCAGAAATACTGGTCTCCCCTCTAACTTTACCCACCCCTCTTCCTTTCTCGAGGTTGATTGAGGTGTAATTGAGAGAAAATAAACCACATACGCTTAAAGTGCAGAGTTTCAAGCATTTTCCTTGTTGATTTTACTACTTCTCAAATCTTACATGTGGTACAACTTTGTGATGCTGTTCAGTTCTATGTCTCTAACACACACACACACACACACACACACACACACACACACACA